TTTCAAATGAGTATACACTGAATCTGTAGATCATTGTAAGGAAATCTGACATCTCTATGTTAGTAAGTCTCCTGACCTACAAAAATAGTCATTTTGTCATTTTCTATGTAGCAGTCTTCCACATGGTTCTTTGTATTTATTCTTAAGTATTTTACATTTGTTTATACTACTGAAAGGACATAACATGGATTTAATATACCCAATGAGCAGCCATGCTATGTCCTTTCAACTATGATAAATGGTATCATTAAAATGTTTTCATTTTCTATGTTTGTTGCTGGTATATAGGAATACAACTGATTTTTGGTTACTGATCTTGTATTCAGCAACTTTGCCAAATTCATTTGTTAATTCTAACAAATTATTTATAGATTCTTTTGGACTTTCTATATCTATAATCATGTCATCTGCAAATAAGGTCAGTTTTATTTATTCTTTTCTAATCTTACTCTTCTATCTCTTTTATATTTTTATAAGTGAATTGTTTGCCATGAGTTCTTTTTTTTTTCTTTTTTTCTTTTCTTTTCTTTTCTTTTCTTTTTTTTTAGTTGGAGTCTCACTCTGTCGCCCAGACTGGAGTGCAGTGGCCGCTCCCAGCCACCGCAGCCTCGACCTGCTGGGGGTCTGGCGATCCTTCCGCCTCAGCCTTCCAAGTAGCTGGAACTACAGGCGCACGCTACCACGCCCAGCTAATTTTTTGATTTATTGTAGAGATGAGGTCTCGCCAAGTTGCCCGGGCGGGTCTCAAACCCATAGGCTCAGGCAATCCACTCACCTCAGCCTCCCAAAGGCGGGGGATTACAGGCTGAGCCACCAAGCCCGGCTTCTTTTTTTTTTTTTTGAGTTGAAGTCTCACTCTGTCGCCCAGACTGGAGTGCAGTGGCACACTCCCGGCCACTGCAGCCTTGACCTGCTGGGATCCGGCCATCCTTCCGCTCAGCCTTCCAAGTAGCTGGAACTACAGGCAGGTACTACCATGCCTGGCTAATTTTTTGATTTATTGTAGCGATGAGGTCTTGCCAAGTTGCCCAGGCGGGTCTCAAACCTGTGGGCTCAGGCAATCCACTCACCTTGGCCTCCCAAAGTGCAGGATTACAGGTTGAGCCACCAAGCCCAGCCTGCCATGAGTTCTTATCTTGACTTCATAATTGAATTTCTTTGGGAAACAAAAATCATAGAAAATCTCAGTCTTTTCATCCTATGAACAGTCTTGATATTTTAATTACATAATGAAAACCTGCGCTGCCCCTAATGTCACCCGTAGTGGTGGCAGCATCCCCAGCTGTGGCTCTCTGTTGACTCACGGCAAAGCATTTGGTGCCTTGTGCAGGAGCAACCATAATCCACGTTGCTGTGGAAATGAGCTGGCCATGATCCAGGGACACTCAGACCCAGAGAAAGGTGCTCTAAAGACTGGCTGTGGCTCACAGGAGACACTTGTTTCTGTTCCCTGAGCAGAGAAGATTCCAGAGGGAACTCTAGGAGCGTGCACAATGTGATGATTTTGCCAAGCTCTTATGCCCGTATGGCAGGGCAGCGGGGGACGGAGGCTGGGTGGCAAGCTGCTTCTATTGCCTGCTGGTCCTGTTTGTACAGCAATCCTGAAAATTAACCTGACCCACCCAGGTCTGCAAGGTGACCCTACTGGCAGTCATTATGGGCAGCTGAGCAAATGAAGGCCTTTGGAGGAATAGCTGTGATTAAGGATTGTAAGTGACTCAGGTAAAGTTCCTCATCCTATGACAACCACTGTGTAACTGCCACTTGCAGTGAGGCAATTTGCAGGAAGCAGGCTGTGCATTTCAGCAGGGTGGGGAAGCCACTCACAGGATTTCTGACAGCTCTCTACAATGGCAACATGGGTTCCATTACTATAATCATAATCCCCCATGTCACATTGCCACCTGGCATGATCTGAAAGGTTTTCTAGGATTTTCATTCTCCCCAACCAGCTGGGCTTTCTTCTTGGCCCATGTGCCTGAGTTCACAAAATAAAGAGCTTTGTGTTTGTCTTTCAGCCACAGCTCTGAGCTGAGTGACACGCATGGATAGGCTTTAAGATCACATGCATTTGTACTGCCAATTAATAAGGAACAGAATGCTCTGGTCTGTGGGGTCTCTCTGGGTTTTTGTGGTATTATTTGTTAATAAAAGTAAGTTACTTGCTATGCAGCATTGTTCATAACAGCCAACAACTCAAGTGCCTGTCAACAGATGAATGCATAACCAAAATGTGACAGAATCATATGATGGAAAACCATTAACCATAACAATTACTGAAGTATTCACACATGCTAAAATATGGATGAAGCTTGAAAACATGATGCTAAATGAAAGAAATCAGTACAAAGGTCATGTACTGTATAACTTCATTTATGCAAAATGTCTGTAACAGGCAATCCCAAGAGACGGGAAAGACACTAGTGGTTGCCAGGGGATGGCGGGGGTTCCTCAAGGGAGATGAAAACATTCAGGAATAAGATCATGGCAATGGTTACACAACACCGTGAATATATTGAAACTGCTGAATTGTACACTTTAAAATGGTAAATTTTATGTTATATACAATTTAACTTAACAAAAAAAGTGAATTATTTGCTATGAGCTTATTTTTTATCTAAATCAAATATCAAAATTGCTTTGACACCCTGACTCTGAAAGCCTTCTCCTCAACAGCCCCAAAAAATTGGGGGACTAAGCAGCACTGAGGCTGGTTACTGCATAAGGTGGCTGGAATTAGCCTTTATATAATCACATCTTTGTATGTAGCCACATCCATGGTTATGGGCCATATCAATGAATTGCATTCTTGGCTTCAATTTAATTTGGTTGAGAAAAATGGCATTTGTGTGTGGAGGTCCATGAAGTCTTGGCAGGCCACAACTCTGGCCTTCCATGTCAGAAGACACTCAGGAGCCTTGGCCTCAAAGCACAGAACTCCTGTTACCAGCACTATAAGGGCAATGGCATTCAAGCAGTTTCTGCTTTGTCAGTGCAGAAGGTGGGCTCTGGGTGACCCTCTGAAGGGGTCACAATTTCCCCCACTTCCCCTTCCCAGAGGGAGAATGAAAGATAAAAAGTTCCCTTCCATTTAATTAGCTTCTTTTCAAAGATCAGAGTCTGGCTGGCAGGCGGAAAATTCCACACTAGTGAAACAAAAGGGAGCCAGAAAGCAGGGCAGATTAAGGGCACAACAAGCTCCCTGCATTCTTCTGTGTTCAGAAGTTAGTTCTAACTTTCTGAAGTCCCAGTTAAATTTCAATGTGCTTACCTATGGCATAGAGAGGAACCAGGTCTATTTCAGTAATCCTTTCACCAGTGGGTACATACTGTGGGGATGGTGAGAGGGTGGGGTGATTTCATTTGTTATGTGGACAGTGGCATGAAAAGTCAATGAAACACATCATGAGAAAGTCACTTTCTTTCCAATTGTTAACCTTCTTATTCCATGAAGGAGAAAGGCTCTGCTCAAGGGTGCTACATCTTTCACACCTTTCATACTTTGTAACAAAGTAAAAGGAGACTCAGAGCCTTTGGTAGGCAACAGTATCTAAGTTAGAGTTTAATGAGATTGTTTAATATCATTGTGCTTCTTTTTACCTTTTTATTTTTCTTTTGAGTTGGAGTCTCACTCTGCGGCCCAGGCTGGAGTGCAGTGGCACACTCACGGCCACCTCGGTGTCGACCTGCTGGGCTCCAGCGATCCTTCAGCCTCAGCCTTCCAAGTAGCCAGAACTATAGAGGTGTGCTACCATGCCTGGCTAATTTTTAAAAATTATTTATTTATTGTAGAGACGAGGTCTCGCCAAGTTGCCCAGGCTGATCTGGAAACCTCAGGCTCAGGCAATCCACTTGCCTCAGCCTCTCAAAGTGCTGGGATTATAGGCTGAGCCACTGAGCCCGGTCTCTTTACTTTTTTATAGTCATTCATTTTTTATGGCAAGTATGGCAAGTTTTCCACTTAAGGTAGTGATATTTATATCACTTTTTTTTTTTTTTTTGAGTTGGAGTCTCACTCTGTCGCCCAGACTGGAGTGCAGTGGCCACTCCCAGCCATGGCAGCCTCGACCTGTTGGGCTCCGGCGATCCTTCCGCCTCAGCCTTCCAGGTAGCTGGAACTACAGGCGCACACTACCACACCCAGCTAATTTTTGATTTATGTAGAGATGAGGTCTCGCCAAGTTCCC